AATCGCCGATTGTCCTAGTAAGTTATAAATAGAAAACAGCCGTCGGCCCGCCTCCACAATCAGGTGTTATCTCTGTGACTATTTTAATCTGTGTTTGTGTAATAAGGTAAGGTAATCGGGGCTGTACACTCTGATTAGGAGGTGACTGGGATTTATAGTCAACTGTACTGTACTTGGAATTGCAACTAATGTCCATGTACAGCAACAAGGGTTATGTGTCATTCTTGTAATCACACATGCCAGTGTTTTTGTTAGGAGCATTTTCATTGTGATACATAAATAATATTACAGTATCCGTTACGAAATGCATCATTAAAACAGTTCATTTATTTCTTAACCTTCAATAAAACGTAACGAGGGTTGACGGATACGTCGGAACCGTCACATCAAAGGAAAACTGTTGTGGAAATTCCGCGATGTGACTAAGGTGTATAGCCAAAGATTGTAGTCAGTTAAGCTTGCCGGTTTGCTGTGAGAAGCAAGGGTCTGTGACCCATTAAGTCACATGAAAATGAAAAAAACTTCTGAAGGACTATGCAGTGGTTGCATACTTGCAGACTGGAGAGCAAAAGCAATAATTCATAAAGTCTGGGAAGGAAATGTATAAAGTGGACAGCAGTGTTTGAGTCTGACAGGGAAACCCAGGAGGATTCAGGGACGCATGCTACGTCACTGACATCGGAATGGATCAATAAGTTTATTTCAATATTTAGTCTCGAGTGTTCCAGCAAATATTTACAGTTGTGAAAACCAAAGATTCGTGGCATCTTTATGTAATTTGATAAACGTTTAAGATGACTTACATCGGATGACTGCAACATTGTTATCAGACTATACCTTGGATTAGGATATGTATGGACAGTGATGAACGGTAAATATTTTGAGTGAATATTTGCATATGCCAACAATCACAACAGGGGCGCATGGAAAGGCAATGACTATCCCCTTAGTTGGACATGCTCTGTCGTCCTTATCGGCTGTCACCACAGTCTTGATAAAGACTCAGGTTAGAAAGGGAGTGCACTTTCATCGGGACAATGTGACAGATCAGAAGCGGCCATTGTGAAAATCCATGAGTGTAGCTTTGAATTTATTCAGCAACCATCACATTCTCCTTAATAAACCATCGTCTCCTCAAGAAACTCGAAGAAATTGAAAATGAAACATACAAACTACTATTCCATTCAGAATCGAGTGATGACGTCACAGCAGCAATGTAGCACATCATTGAAAGCCAAGGAACGACTTCAGTGAAACAGGGATAAAATCCTGTAAAAACAAAAACTTGTATCTTTTTGGCTAAGGATTTATGTGAAAAAATAAACATTTCCATGTGAGGTGCTGGATTTACCAATCAGTCCAGAAATATAAACAGTGTAACCACGGCACGAAGTCTTTAGTGATTCATGCCAGTTAGCTGATATGGCCAACATTATGCTTCTTATATCTCATGCATATGTCGGTATATTTATTGATATTGTATAGTTGATGGGAAGGCATGGGATATGTTGACTATACGTCACAGGTATTTTCATTGTTATTGGCATTCTTGACGGTATTTTGCAGTTGACGGCAACTGGTCAGAGTGGGGCAACTGGGGTGCTTGTTCGGTGACCTGCGGAAGTGGAAACCTGACGAGGTCAAGGTCATGTACTGAACCTGCTCCACGGTTTAATGGGACTGACTGTGTGGGCGTTGCGCAGGAAGCTCAGTCGTGTGATACAGGCGTTCTTTGTCCAGGTGGGAGAATTCACATTTTCCATATATCGAATTCCGCAATACATATAAGTCAAGCTCTAACTTAATTGTGTTTCGTTTTCTCTCAACACTGCTTACAGTGGATGGCAACTGGGGTGTCTGGACTCCATGGAGCGTATGCTCTGTGACCTGTTCTTCAGGGTCACGTGAGAGGTCAAGGTTATGCGATAACCCTGCGGTGGCTAATGGCGGAGCGGACTGTGTTGGACAGGCTAATGAAACAGAATCATGCAACACTGGTGTCAGCTGCCCGGGTAAGACGTTACATCATCCTTCATCCTGAAGCGTTTTCGTGCAGTGACAAATGCATGTGAAAAGAGAATGGCATATTTGCAAAGTTAATTGCTTTTCCCATGGAATGTTTTGGCTGCTTACCGAATAAAATATATTTATGGGAAACGGTATTGCAACACTTATGATTTTTAACCCCAATGTAGGCATTTACATTCATATCATAATTATGCTTAGTGACTATCTTTACCCTCCGTGCGCACCACTCATCATTTTAGATCAAAGGCGAACAGGTACAAGTGTATATGCAACAAGTCTGCCCTGTATTACGTTTCAGTAAAGTGTTCTTTTAAAGTTGGTGTGTCAATTTATTTCGCTCTCGATAATTAAATATTGGGGCTTCCTTAGCTGATAAATATTCAAAGATGGCTAATAGTTACCTTTATTGTTATTATCAAATAATCAATGAAAAAAACACTTAACCCAGATCGTGTATGTGTCTTTCCACATAGTTATATAAAAGCTTTTGGCAGTGATAACTGAAGGGGACGTATTTGCGTTTCAGTTGATGGTGGATTTCAGCCCTGGACCTTGTGGAGCGCATGCTCAGTGACCTGTGAAAATGGAACTCAAACCAGGTCACGGGACTGTAACAATCCAACCCCCCAGTTTGGTGGAGCTAACTGTTCCGGGGACTTCACCCAAGTATTGTCTTGTGACACAGGCATCAGGTGCCCGTGTGAGTATGTTGTCGTCATTCCTATAGATGTGAATACTTTGTGCCATGTCGTATAGTTACATGACAATTGAACCAGTCCCTTCCTCCATATATCTAACTGATAAATTTACCGTGGGTACCGTTCAAGGACTGTGCTCATGGTCAGTCTCTGAAAACCAGTACATGCATTACTCAAGATCTAGAAATACAAGATACATGATCACAGGAGCAGCACTTGCTTCTGTAAAGATTGAGAGTGTAGCAGTGTCTATGGTGAGTGAGTGAGTGAGTGAGTTGCGTTTTACGCCATTTTTAGCAATATTCCAGCAATATCACGGCGAGGGACACGAGAAATGGGTTTCACACAATTATTATTATTATTATTATACTTGGGAAATACTGCAACAAACCAGACTTAGAATAGACAGTTACGTTTATGTGTATTTTCGTCACCGTTATGTGGGGGTTATGGTCGATAGAGATGTAAACTTTGCCACTGATGATCGACATTATGAAATATTTTAGGGTAAAAAACTATCTAAAGTACAAGAAATCAATTGCCACTGATGATCGACATTACGAAATATTTTAGGGTAAAAAACTATCTAAAGCACAAGAAATCAATTGCCACTGATGATCGACATTAGGAAATATTTTAGGGTAAAAAACTATCGAAAGCACCAGAAATCAATTGCCACTGACAGTTCGGGAAAAGTATGTCATGTCTGAGTGATAGCGTGTCAGCCTGGCGTGAGAGGAGAGTCGGATAGTTGCAAGCGTTTGCTGTTTACTTCTCTCTTGAAGGGGCGATGGGCTAGCGTAGTGGATAAAGCGTTCGCTCGTCACGCCGAAGACCAGGGTTCGATTCCCCAAATGGGTACAACGTGTGAAGCCCATTTCTGGTGTCCCCCGCCGTGATGTTGCTGGAATATTGCTAAAAGCGGCGTTAAACCAAACTCACTCACTCTTTTGTGAAACATACAGGCATGGGTTTGGTGCTGTCTAACCTAGACACCAAATCATGAAGAACTGTGATCGGTGGTCTCAATCACAGGCAGATAACATATATTGTCTCACTAGGAACAAGTTCCCAAGAGTTCCTAACTGTCACACATTTGGTTGACATGTATAGAGTATGACTCTCACGTTGGTATTTTAGTGCCTGGAGGGTGGGGCACATGGGGGCCTATGAGTGCCTGTTCGTTGACCTGTGGGGGTGGAGTCCGGGTGAGGAATCGGCCATGTAACAACCCTGTACCGGATCCTGGAGGGGACTGTCCCGGTGTGGAGCTTGAGATGGAACAATGCAACACACAAGTGTGTGACCCATCACACACCAACATGGTGAGAACACATGCAACGATGTATTTTTATATGTTGATAATTTACCTCGGTATGCATGTAAACCTGACATCTGGACAATATAACTGTATGAAGGATCGGCAGTCGTTAGATCCCCCAAGCTGACCTTTAAGTATGTGTTCAAGGCTCCTCACCTCAAGGAATAAATTGAAGGAAGTGTTAGTGAATAATGTTGCAACTGTACTTTTCTTTCATGCTTCAATGATAATTTTGTGGATTCCCGTGTTCTGTTATTGTATGTAGCACCTGATTACATGCTTGTCATTTAACACTTCAGACATGCATCCATCAGTGGTTTCCATGCAGAGATGGAAGTGCATGCATTTATTTCCTTCTGAGATGCGACTGCTCATACGACTGCGCAGACGGAAGTGACGAAGATATAGAGTATGCACGCTGTGTCCCTGATATCGATAAGTGCATGATGGCCGACGCTACGTCAGTCGTGTTACCCGCGTACTGGTTGATCTGGCTTCTGCTCATACTGTAGCTCGTTGTGTGACAATACCAAAATGCATCAATGGTAACAATACAGATGATATCCACATCTACAGTGGAAATGTCGCAATAATAACTGCTTAAATTTTACTTAAAGATTACTGTATATGCATGAGATCACCCATTTAACCTCTGTCAATAAATTGAAAAAAGACAGCTGACTATTACATCCTTGAAAAGAAGAAAGAGAGCAGTTACTGAAATAAACTGAATTTGAAATTACTTGTATTATTTATAACTAATTGTCACATTGTCTGGACGTCGCAGTTCTTGTTGTAACTGATTTTATATTAAAAGATGCTACAAATCAACCCAATTCTTCTGCGAGTACTCTACAGTTTTCACGTTAATTTCGATACTTGAGAATACACAGTAAGGCTCGATACACACCTTGTCTGCTCAAGTTGATCAACAAAGAACAAATTTACTTCTGTTTCAGTTATATTAGATTTTATTCAACATTAAATTTTCTCTGAAAAAGGAGTACCTTGAAATCAATATATTAACCTGGACCTCCTTATACATATAAAAGTATATAATCAACTACAAAACATCGGTAGCGGGTTTAACGCCGTATTGAACGGTATTCCAGTTGTATCCCAAAGTATGTATGAGTGAGTGGGTGAGTGAGTGAATGAGGTTTAGCGTCGTTTTGAACGGCATTCCAATTGTATTCCCAGGGAGTGAGTGAGTGAGTGGGTTAGTGAGTGAGTGAGTGGGTGGGTTGGGTGAGTGAGTTGGGTTTAACGTCGTTGAGTGAGTGAGTGAGTGCGTGGGTGAGTGAGTGAGTGAGTTAATGAGTGAGTGAGTGAGTTGGGTTTAACGTCATTTTCAACGGTATTCCAATTGTATCCCCAGGGAGTAAGTGAGTGAGCGGGTTGTTGGGTGAATAGATTGGTGAGTGAGTGAGTCGGGTTTAACGCCGTGTTGTACGGTATTCCAGGCATATCACGGCCTGTCAGCTTTGTGTAGGAGGAAAGTCCTACAACGTAGACGTTTACTGGGTTCGTCCAACCCAGTCCATTCGAACCGGGATTCGAACCCATGAACATGGTTTCTATGTTCCCAAGGAACGCAGCACTACCTCAGTCGACCATCTCAATTCCCCTCTAAGCCTAATAAGCATTTATAGGTGTAGGTGTGTCTGTACTGCTACATCAATAGGAAACTGAACCGACACGCTGAGCAAATTCTCCACTGTACATTTCGAGACAGATTATCATGAAAGTGTTAATGTTTAACATCAAATGGGCGTCTTTATGTGATTTGAAACAAACGTTGCCTTGCTCAGTAAGTAAAATATAGTTTCTTCCGCAGCGTCGACCGCACTTCAGCCGTTTGTCTGAGAAACTTCCCATCCGATGTTTCACATTGATGATCGTCCACTTTACGACGCACGGTTGTCATGATGCTGTCCAGGTCATCTCTGAAAAAAACACGAACAAAATATTTGTATACCACAGTCACAAAGTTCTTAGCTAACATGGTGAATGAACGAGTTTAGTTTTACTCCACTTTAACAATTTTCCAACAATACCACGGCGGGATAATGGGCTTCAAACCTTGTACCATTGTGGGAAAACGAACCCGGGCCTTCGGTGTAACGAGCGAACGCTTTAACCAGTAGGTTACACCACTGCCGTTAAACTAACATAGAGAGTATGGACTTACAGGAAATTATGTAACCTCAAACAACGAGTGCATTGGGTTGGTGACTAGGTTTTTACGTCGTTTGTAGACAAATTCCAGCAGCATCATGTCGATGGATACCAGCAAGCATCGGGTCTTAGGGGTGACAAGCGAACGCGTTAACCACTGGGCTACTCCATCACCTAAGTAGGTTTGGCTTAACCAGACTTTGGTATTACCTCTTTGTAGATGCTTCCAGAGCTTGGACAAGCGACTGAATGAACCAGCTACCAGTCTCAGCGTTTCTGAGAGCCTGCATCCCTGCCACTGTGGCAAATCCAAAGAAGAAATCTGCATTTGGAGCAACCATCTTGACAAGTATTGCTTCTGAACCAACTACATCATTGCCGCCACCATCACCTTGAACCGGAACAGCTACAATAGCAAAGTAGAATACAATAGCAAAGGAGAATGGATACAATAGCAAGGTAGAATACAATATCAAAGGAGAACGGATACAATAGCTAGGAAGAATACAATAGTAAAGTAGAACAGCTACAATGGCAAGGTAGAATGCAATAGCAAAGAAGAACGGCTACAATAGCAAGAGAGAACGGATACAATAGCAAAGGAGAACAGCTACAATAGCAAAGGAAAACAGCTACAATAGCAATGTAGAATACAATAGCAAAGTAGAACAGCTACAATAGCAAGGTAGAATACAATAGCAAATGAGAATGGCTACAATAGCAAGGTAGAATACAAAAGCAAAGGAGAACGGATACAATAGCAAAGGAGAACAGCTACAATAGCAAAGGAGAACGGATACAATAGCAAGGTAGAATACAATAGCAAAGGAGAACAGATACAATAGCAAGGTAGAATACAATAGGAAAGGAGAACGGATACAATAGCAAACTAGAACGGACACCTGTACGGCTGGGCTATGAGCCAGTATCTACCCACAGGGGGATTGGAATGGGTGCCGCATGAGATCGGCCGGGTATCGTCCGATTTTGATGTTATGAGCATCGCACCAGATTCGAACAAAGGTTATATCCTCGAGGTTGACTTGGAATACCCCAAGGCATTACACACATCACACAACAGCTACCCCCTGGCCCCCGAACGTATGAGGGTTAACCCGGACTGGATGTCTGAGTACCAACATAACTTATTAGGTGGGCGGGTGGCAGACGTTGAAAAACTCGTGCCAAACTTAATGAATGAGACCAAGTACATCGTTCACTATCGCAACCTACAGCTGTACCTGTCGTTGGGTATGAGGCTGACCAAAATACACAGGGTGCTCGTGTTCAACCAGAGCCCCTGGATGGAGCCTTACATCAGAATGAACACAGACCTCCGAAAGCTTGCTACCAGTGACTTTGAGAAAAACCTCTACAAGCTCATGAACAACTCGGTGTTTGGTAAGACTATGGAGAACCTGAGGAAACACGTGACCGTGAAGCTGGTTTGGTCAAATGAGGAAGACAAGCTCAGGAGACTGATAGCCAGTCCGGCATTCAACCGTAGCAAGATATTCACCGATAACCTAGTTGCCCTACACATGAAGAAAAGCCACATAAAATTCAACCGGCCTGTTTACGTGGGGATGAGCATCCTCGATTTATCCAAACACCTGATGTACGACTTTTACTACAACGAGCTTAAGAAACAGTACGAGGACAGGTGTGAAGTTCTGTACACTGACACGGATTCCCTGCTGATGGAGATTCGAACCGAGGACGTGTACTTTGACATGAAAAAACACCTCGATTTGTATGACACCAGCGACTACCCCAAGGACCATACCATACACAGCACGGTAAATAAAAAGGTCCTAGGTAAGATGAAGGACGAGTGTGCTGGCACGCCCATAGCCGAGTACATAGGGTTGAGGCCAAAGATGTATTCCATACTGAAGGCCGACAATGGTGAAATCCGGAAGGCTAAGGGTGTTAAGAAGTACGTGGTTAAACAACACATCAAACACGCCAGATTCAAGGAAGCCCTGTTCAAGACCCGTACCTTTAGGCATAAAATGAACACACTTAGAAGTGATGGGCATAAGATATACGGACTGACTATAAACAAGACGCCCCTGTCGCCTATGGACACTAAACGCTGGATAGCTATTGATGGGATAAACACGCACGCCAAGTGCGGGCATGAGAAAAAAATTGAACCAAGAACATAGATATAAATATCGGGACGACATGTCACGGACCCAAAGAAAGTTTGAGGCTATTTACTACAGCCCGCTGTGGGTACTGGAAAGGAGCTAGCTGTAGATAAGCTAGCTAAAATGGCGCCGAGTACCCGGAGGAGGCCAAAGCGTGGCTTTGAAAACAAGCCCTGTGGCAGATCTATTTGCCGGCACCACGCCACGCGCCTAGAAGGAGGTTCGGTATTAACATACCTAATAGCGTTCACCAGGCAGACTTACTGTTCCTACCCCACGACAAGAGGGTACAAGTATGCCTTAACCAGAGGGACGTGAGCCAGTCGCTACAAGGAAGCCGAACCCTTGACCACGAAAAGACTCCGCCCAGGTAGCCAGAGGATTCAACGCATATACAAACGCGCCAGTCCGCTGACGCGGGCCAACAGAGCTGCAAGTTGACCCGGGCGGGAGTTCATGGGTGCCGTGTCACAACTGCTAGCCAAACACGATACAAAGGTCAGGCGAGGCACGGCCGGAGCCCATCGCAGCCAAGCCATAGTTGAGAGATTTAATAGGGCTTTGGCTGAGCTCTTATTCGGACATCAGTATGCTAGGGAGATGGCCAATCCGGGAAAACGATCGACTGAATGGGTCACGAGGTTACCTAAGGTGGTGTCGGCAATCAACCATGAAGCCACCCGTCTCACCGGCAAGAAACCAGTAGACGCTATCAAAATAAAATCAATAGTGGCAGAGTCGGCTGCTCCATTGCGTGGAAAGGAGAAACAGATACCAGATAGGGCCCTAGTGAGGTATCTATACCAGCCGGGGGAACACGAGGGTGATAGCCGTAAACGAGCCACCGATCCTATATGGTCAGTCAAAACTTACAACATAGATAAAGTGGACATCAAAGCAGATGAGCCTAACTTGTACTACTTGAGGGATGGACCAGGTAGGAGGTTTGTAAGAGCGGAATTATTGATCGTACTGTACGGCACAGTGTTACCTCCTACCAACATGGCATAGCGGCACGATAATACAATATCCGTTACTTCACCCATGCCCCCAGTAGTTAAGCGGTGCGGTTGAGAGGCATAACATTGGGCGTTCGTATCCCGCTATCGTCCCAAACTTTTTTATAGTAGGGGTAATGGTAGAAAGAGCTAAGGGTCCGACCAAAGCCTTATTTCACAAATAAGGCTTTGCAGAGGCTTTTGTTGAAAGTGATCCAGAACCCCCATTGTATATACTACTAAAGTAGAACGGATACAATCGCAAAGTTGAACGTGCACAATAAGCAAGCATGGGCTGCGGAAAACTAATTCTAACCCGGATCTTCATGGAGGTATCAGCATGCAGTGACTTTCGGTGACATCTTTATGTAACGTTTGGATGCGGCTTTTATCTCTAAATCACATTTTATGTATACATTTATGTTTACCTTTTTGGCGTTCGTTGCCTCTGCATGACTGAAAGAAAAACAGCTTTGGTTTGTTGGCCAGTGACGGACACACTGACGCCTTGAAGTAAGATGTGATGGTACTGACTTCCAGCCACTCGTTGTCGGAACCCTGCACCGCCCCATCTCGCCCGTGAGTCAGGAAGATCACTACCACACAGTTATAAGCCTTGTGGTCCATCTCGGCAAGTTCCTTCAGCCTAGTTTCCATCACATTAGCATTGGAGTCGTCAAACGATTTCACGACAAAATGGAGCTTTTCCCACACCTTTGTCAACGCATCTAAGGTAAAATAATCAGATTGAATTCAAATAAATATTATTTCTCACCGATCCCCTGGTATCATGAACCTTCAATGCTCAATTATCTAATGTACTATCTCTGTAATTATATGTTATATATTGCCTCTGTTCACCCAGTAGAAAATGGGTACCCGGCGGGATAGGTCATGTGACTATAACCTTCCAGCGCTTAACAAGCAGCTTGGGATATCCGGGGTAGACGTTGTAATGCGCCATCCATTGAACAGCTGGATACCAGTTGGATACCAGGCGCCATAGAAATACATTATGTATTATGGTTATATTAACTTTCATTTTACTGTGGTGGCATATAATGAGTCAAATACAGATACCGTCATGTTATGGAGATATAAAACATTGAGGAGGTTGGTACAGTTTCGGTGCACAAGTGGAATTGTTGTTATACTTGTAATTTTGCAATTCATAAACAATTTGACATACAACAAGGAAGTTAGAGTGGTGTAAACGTTCAGTACGTCGACGGGACTGATCAAGTACACATTTCACTCTCTTATGTTTGTTTTTGTGTTCGTTTAACGCCGCACTCAGCAATATTCCAGCTATATGGCGCCGGTCTGTTAATAATCGAGTCTCGTCCAGACAATTCAGTGATCAACATCAGGAACATCGATCTGCGCAACTGGGATACGTATACATGTGTCAACCAAGTCAGCGAGCCTGGCCACCAGATCCCGTTAGTCGCCTCTTACGACAAGCATGGGTTACTGAAGGCCACTTCTAACCCTGTTCTTCACGGGTCTCTCTCTTATAAAAGCACAGGTGATAAAAATTGATAAAAAATGTAATGCACCAAATCCATGTGTGACATTATTATGTAGTGGTCACTCGATTTTAATCCTCCTCAATCTCCTGGACAGAATACAACCTTGTGAGGCTAACATCACAGTACCGCATCCTACCGGGTACCCATTCACTGCTTGCTGAACAAATTCACATGTTTAACAAAGTCAAGAGACCTATTGGGAATTATCTGTTGGTGTTTTTGATAATGTTTCAGTATTGATACTGAGAAATGCAAGCGGTGTATATCTTGTACATAGTAGTTTACTGCTGGATCGGGTACTGAAAAAATTAAGATCAGCGGGAGTAAAGAAGTTACACCAATCGCAAAATTGCTTACCTCTGTCCTTCTCGACTCCTATTCTCTTTTTATCGGGTTTATTTTCAAACGTCTTGTTGCTGAATATATAACACAACCCTGCAAATATGATTGTAGAAGCAGCGTTGATGTAGGACATTGTCACATTGAACATTGAGAAATAGACATTCTTCGTTTTTACTACGTTTGATAACATGAGATTTTATATTTTTCAATATGTAACTTGAATTTTAACATTTAAACTTCCTTCACATGTACTATATAGGTAGCAAACCGTAGATAATCCTTTTCAATATGAACCATTCATCAAATAGATAATAGGACAATTATTCATAGTTAATCACTCCGCTGTGGAGTACTGCACTATTTCTAAAACCTGCTTAAAACCATACTCACTCACTCACACATCAATCCTACAAATCTGAGTGAGTGATTGAGTTTAGTTTTACGCCTCAATCAGCAATATTCAACCTATGTGACGCCGTCTGTAAATAATCGAGTATGGACTAGACAATCCAATGGTCGACATCATGATCATTGATCTCGGCAAGTGGGATACGATGGATTGACTTAACCACCGATCCCGTTAGTTGCCTCTTACGACAAGCATGGGTTATTGAAGATCAATTTTAACCCCGATCTTGACGGGTCCTACAATTCTGATTGGACGTAAATATGTGCATACTGACCTCTCGGAACAGAGTCCATTTTATAGGGAGCCTCTTGACCTTGACCACTGCCGTCAGCATCTGAAGGGAATGCGGATAATAATATACAAAATAATGACACTGATATTCACAATTCGCATATGCGCTTGTCACGGATCATGCTGTTCCAAGATTGTACAGAACGGACCGCTACACAAAGAACACAAGAAAGGAAGCGTGAAATACGTTACTTCCGACATAATTTTTAAGTGACAAATAACAATATAGGTTGAATTTGTAATAGTATATCAGTTGTATTACCGCGTGTCTGTTTACTGAGGGAGGAAAACCCGAAGTTTTACTCGGTAACCTCATGACTGCACGTATGATGGTAACAAAAACAACTTGGGCTCGCAAAAAGATCAATACTCGGAAATATCCGAGATAGTAAAAAATATGAATCATTATCTTTATGAAAATAGTGTCGTCAATATTATCATACATAAACCTTTCTGATAGAAAGTTTATATTTACCCATACATGGTAGTAGATCGAACTGTATTTCTTAAACACTATACACAAAGTTACGTTTTTATTCATGGGCTGCTTCTAAATTATGCTCAGGACGCGGAGTTTATCACCGCTCACTACTGGAGTTTAACATTTATTTCTTTTAGACTTTTGGGGAATTTATTTCTCAAAGTTACGTCTCCGATATTTATCGATAATCGATCGGTATTTAGTTAACGATCGGAATTTAGTTTAGTTTCTTTGCTCTCAGGTAATATACTACTCCTCAAACGTTTAGACTCACTAGTGTAAATGTAGCAACTTACTTTAGTCAACTGTTTTAGATGTGACTCCGAAAAACCTCATAGCTGTAAGTGCTGTTGAGGACGAACGATCACGTGTTCGAATGCCAATCTCGCTGCGAATGCTTGTTTTGAATTATGTTGAGGGCAACAGAAAAATCATAAACATTCACGTTGTTAATGTTTGACAATGACTAGGATAATGTAGCGCTTATGTGGTGAATAAATTGAATAAAAGTTATGATCGTCAACCTGGTAATAGATTTTATAACATGCCCATCAGCATGTGTGTGTGGGTGTGTGTGTTGGGGGTGGGGGTGGGGAGAGTGTCCTCATTTTCAATGATTCTCAATGCCATCATGGTCATCAAATATTGAATGTTCGTGATCACGGTATAGAGGATACATTGATATATGGATACCGTTACATTGTATCTTGTCCAAACAACGCGTTTGACTGTTAATGCTGTCTGTATGCAATGATACATGTATATCTGTGCATAAGGTTACAATAAATATAAGTTGTACTTACGTAATAAATGTTTCCAAGAAAGTTCACATTAAAGGAAAAACTCATTGCAGCACAAAACGTAAGGAAGGGAAGTGCCGTCATATTATCCTGGTATCACTGAATGCATTATGATCCGTATACTTCAGTAACTCCAGAAACTAAAAGTCTTCCCGAATAGTGTGTGAAGTAATCCATGTAAACAGAGCGTTTATTGGTAGAATACGTCATTGTGAAGTGTTGAATATTTGACATATTAATGTCGTGCTTAGTCGCTCAGCTTTTTATATCTGTCACGGTAAACTGAACATATAATTACATGCACCTACAGAAAACTACAGCTCGCAAAATAACACGAGATATATGTCAGCACAATGAATGGAGTTATAAATCCATGTGTGTACATTCACCTGTATTAATGCTGAATTACACTGTCTCAAACAATTTTAAATTCTGACATTTGCAAGAAGGTCAATAAGGGTAAACCTAAGCAAGCGACTTGCAAGAAATGTTTTACATTTGATACTTTCTCAGAGAAAGCTTCTTTTTGTTGTAAAGGGCCTCGTATTGCCATGAAGGGTTTGGGTGACACGTCAATTGCAATAAGTTCTTTATAGTGTATAACAGCTGTCGCTACAGGTCACCATGACCAACGGTGTTACAAATGAATGCACATTGAGCAGATATGCTTGTTCAAGAGTCCGCTTCCCATTGCACATGACCTATATCTGTGGAGTCGGTGATACTGTTACACGGGGAGAAGCTATGGGACGTCACAAGGCAGGTTCGAATTGTTTGAATACCTACGAAATACGAGAAAGGGAATGCTGCTGACGTGTGTATGTAACTATGTTTTGTTTTCTTTTGTATTTTGGTGATATAACTGCATGTGCATGTACACGTGCACGCACAGTTATGTATACATTTGGGTAGACATGGCGTATAACCCGATAGAGGAATCAGTGTTTGAGTTCAAAGGTTCAAATAAGTCGAGCATGTGCTTTCCCGCGTTTCACCCATTTGGCTAATCATTCGTGTGCATTTGTATGATGCATGTTGCGAGTTAGTTGTACAGCTAAGTGACATTGATTACAAGACACTAGGTCAGACAAACCTTGTTATCAGTAGTGACTATCAGCCTGTGTAGTACAGTCAATGGGTGAAGGCGCCCTACGCCTTGTTTGCTGTTACACACGTCATTCGTTAACCAATCCACAGTCATAAGAATAAATGACAAAAGGACTTAGTCGATTCATTAGTGCTAATGAAAACAAACTTTTAGAATTTTCTTTTCTTTCAGAATTAGTCTTCTTCTATGAGGAAGATTAGGTCAAATATTCAACACTTCACAATGACGTATTCTACCAATAAACGCTCTGTTTACATGGATTTCTTCACACACTATTCGGGAAGACTTTTAGTGTCTGGAGTTACTGAAGTATACGGATCATAATGCATTCAGTGATACCAGGATAATATGACGGCACTTCCCTTCCTTACGTTTTGTGCTGCAATGTGTTTTTCCTTTAATGTGAACTTTCTTGGAAACATTTATTAGGTAAGTACAACTTATATTTACTGTAACCTTATGCACACATACACATGTATAATTGCATACAGACAGCATTAACAGTCGAATGGGTTGTTTGGACAAGATACAATGTAACGGCATCCCAATATCAATGTATCCTCTATATCGTGATCACGAACATTCACCATGATGGCATTGAGAATCATTGAAAATGCGGACACTCTCCCCACCCCCCACCCCCAACACCCTCTCTCTCTCTCTCTCTCACACACACACACACACACACACACACACACACACATGCTGATGGGCATGTTATAAAATCTATTACCAGGTTGACGATCATAACTTTTATTCAATTTATTCACCACATAAGCGCTACATTATCCTAGTCATTGTCAAACATTAACAACGTGAATGTTTATGATTTTTCTGTTGCCCTCAACATAATTCAAAACAAGCATTCGCAGCGAGATTGGCATTCGAACACGTGATCGACACAAATACAATTACATATATATTGTAGTTCAAGATTCCAACACTTCTTACCCGTCCTAGCAGGTGCTTCCTGTTGCCCGGCGACCGTGGCTTGCATCCCGCCTGCATGGTTGTCACCAGTTGCTATGTTGCCTGTCTGACCTGTGTTCACGATCCCTCGGCTTCCTTTATGACATGAATTAAAACTTTAATACAAAAGCAAAAATAGTGGAATAGAATGAATACAAATAAATAAAAATATATACACACGAGGAAATAACACTTATCAGCAAAACAATTAAGTTGATTGCAGGTGCTTGGCTCTTTTACTTTATTCTTCACACTGTAAACAAAGCTAAAGCACCAGAAATCTGTTATCTGAATACATTAGATAAACGAGTATGTGCACTGTTGGCTGTAGGATTAATTGATCTTATCAATATATGACATGATAAATAACGTGGAGGTGATGATACTGATATATAAACCTTGGTTTATGCCCCTGCCAGCACCAGTTATATGGTCTTCGTCACTCATGTTTCTATCTGAAACAAATTAATGTAAAATTTGATTAGATCATCACTTTGATATTTCCCAGTCTACACTGGACTATGAACCGGATATCCCAGTCGTTCTAATCACGCACTGATCCTTAGTTTTGTCCTGCTCCTACGTTATAAGAAAGCTTTGAACACGAAACTTCAACCTTTGGCATTTGGAACTTTCGTATACGATTGCGTAATTTGATTTAAACACTTCAGAGTCAGGATAAACCTGTAACCGCCGCAAAACGTGGACTAGTAACTGCGTAAACGTTTCACAGCTCACTTACCTGGAGGGATGGGGTACGACAAGCTGCAGTGTTACGTAATCCTCGCCCGGGCTGAACCCTTCAGTGAAGGCCAGGAGCGGTATTACATGGATCTATTTACGGACTTTCCCCAGAAATTGCATACAGACAGCATTAACAGTCAAACGCGTTGGTTGGACAAGATACAATGTAACGGCATCCCAATATCAATGTATCCTCTATATCGCGATCACTTAACATTCACCATGATGGCATTGAGAATCATTGAAAATGCGGACACTCTCCCCACCCCCCACCCCCAACACACACACACACACACACACACACACACACACACACACACACACATGCTGATGGGCATGTTATAAAATCTATTACCAGGTTGACGATCATAACTTTTATTCAATTTATTCACCACATAAGCTACATTATCCTAGTCATTGTCAAACATTAACAACGTGAATGTTTATGATTTTCTGTTGCCCTCAACATAATTCAAAACAAGCATTCGCAGCGAGATTGGCATTCGAACACGTGATCGACACAAATACAATTACATATATATTGTAGTTCAAGATTCCAACACTTCTTACCCGTCCTAGCAGGTGCTTCCTGTTGCCCGGCGACCGTGGCTTGCATCCCGCCTGCATGGTTGTCACCAGTTGCTATGTTGCCTGTCTGACCTGTGTTCACGATCCCTCGGCTTCCTTTTATGACATGAATTAAAACTTTAATACAAAAAGCAAAAATAGTGGAATAGAATGAATACAAATAAATAAAAATATATACACACGAGGAAATAACACTTATCAGCAAAACAATTAGGTTGATTGCAGGTGCTTGGCTCTTTTACTTTATTCTTCACACTGTAAACAAAGCTAAAGCACCAGAAATCTGTTATCTGAATACATTAGATAAACGAGTATGTGCACTGTTGGCTGTAGGATTAATTGATCTTATCAATATATGACATGATAAATAACGTGGAGGTGATGATACTGATATATAAACCTTGGTTTATGCCCCTGCCAGCACCAGTTATATGGTCTTCGTCACTCATGTTCCTATCTGAAACAAATTAATGTAAAATTTGATTAGATCATCACTTTGATATTTCCCAGTCTACACTGGACTATGAACCGGATATCCCAGTCGTTCTAATCACGCACTGATCCTTAGTTTTGTCCTGCTCCTACGTTATAAGAAAGCTTTGAACACGAAACTTCAACCTTTGGCATTTGGAACTTTCGTATACGATTGCGTAATTTGATTTAAACACTTCAGAGTCAGGATAAACCTGTAACCGCCGCAAAACGTGGACTAGTAACTGCGTAAACGTTTCACAGCTCACTTACCTGGAGGGATGGGGTACGACAAGCTGCAGTGTCACGTAATCCTCGCCCGGGCTGAACCCTTCAGTGAAGGCCAGGAGCGGTATTACATGGATCTATTTACGGACTTTCCCCAGAAATTGCATACAGACAGCATTAACAGTCAAACGCGTTGGTTGGACAAGATACAATGTAACGGCATCCCAATATCAATGTATCCTCTATATCGTGATCACGAACATTCACCATGATGGCATTGACAATCATTGAAAATGAGGACACTCTCCCCACCCCCACCCCCAACACACACACCCACACACACATGCTGATGGGCATGTTATAAAATCTATTACCAGGTTGACGATCATAACTTTTATTCAATTTATTCACCACATAAGCGCTACATTATCCTAGTCATTGTCAAACATTAACAACGTGAATGTTTATGATTTTTCTGTTGCCCTCAACATAATTCAAAACAAGCATTCGCAGCGAGATTGGCATTCGAACACGTGATCGACACAAATACAATTACATATATATTGTAGTTCAAGATTCCAACACTTCTTACCCGTCCTAGCAGGTGCTTCCTGTTGCCCGGCGACCGTGGCTTGCATCCCGCCTGCATGGTTGTCACCAGTTGCTATGTTGCCTGTCTGACCTGTGTTCACGATCCCTCGGCTTCCTTTATGACATGAATTAAAACTTTAATACAAAAAGCAAAAATAGTGGAATAGAATGAATACAAATAAATAAAAATATATACACACGAGGAAATAACACTTATCAGCAAAACAATTAGGTTGATTGCAGGTGCTTGGCTCTTTTACTTTATTCTTCACACTGTAAACAAAGCTAAAGCACCAGAAATCTGTTATCTGAATACATTAGATAAACGAGTATGTGCACTGTTGGCTGTAGGATTAATTGATCTTATCAATATATGACATGATAAATAACGTGGAGGTGATGATACTGATATATAAACCTTGGTTTATGCCCCTGCCAGCACCAGTTATATGGTCTTCGTCACTCATGTTCCTATCTGAAACAAATTAATGTAAAATTTGATTAGATCATCACTTTGATATTTCCCAGTCTACACTGGACTATGAACCGGATATCCCAGTCGTTCTAATCACGCACTGATCCTTAGTTTTGTCCTGCTCCTACGTTATAAGAAAGCTTTGAACACGAAACTTCAACCTTTGGCATTTGGAACTTTCGTATACGATTGCGTAATTTGATTTAAACACTTCAGAGTCAGGATAAACCTGTAACCGCCGCAAAACGTGGACTAGTAACTGCGTAAACGTTTCACAGCTCACTTACCTGGAGGGATGGGGTACGACAAGCTGCAGTGTCACGTAATCCTCGCCCGGGCTGAACCCTTCAGTGAAGGCCAGGAGCGGTATTACATGGATCTATTTACGGACTTTCCCCAGAAATTGCATACAGACAGCATTAACAGTCAAACGCGTTGGTTGGACAAGATACAATGTAACGGCATCCCAATATCAATGTATCCTCTATATCGTGATCACGAACATTCACCATGATGGCATTGACAATCATTGAAAATGCGGACACTCTCCCCACCCCCCACCCCCAACACCCTCTCTCTCTCTCTCTCTCTCACACACACACACACACACACACACACACACATGCTGATGGGCATGTTATAAAATCTATTACCAGGTTGACGATCATAACTTTTATTCAATTTATTCACCACATAAGCGCTACATTATCCTAGTCATTGTCAAACATTAACAACGTGAATGTTTATGATTTTTCTGTTGCCCTCAACATAATTCAAAACAAGCATTCGCAGCGAGATTGGCATTCGAACACGTGATCGACACAAATACAATTACATATATATTGTAGTTCAAGATTCCAACACTTCTTACCCGTCCTAGCAGGTGCTTCCTGTTGCCCGGCGACCGTGGCTTGCATCCCACCTGGATGGTTGTCACCAGTTGCTATGTTGCCTGTCTGACCTGTGTTCACGATCCCTCGGCTTCCTTTATGACATGAATTAAAACTTTAATACAAAAAGCAAAAATAGTGGAATAGAATGAATACAAATAAATAAAAATATATACACACGAGGAAATAACACTTATCAGCAAAACAATTAAGTTGATTGCAGGTGCTTGGCTCTTTTACTTTATTCTTCACACTGTAAACAAAGCTAAAGCACCAGAAATCTGTTATCTGAATACATTAGATAAACGAGTATGTGCACTGTTGGCTGTAGGATTAATTGATCTTATCAATATATGACATGATAAATAACGTGGAGGTGATGATACTGATATATAAACCTTGGTTTATGCCCCTGCCAGCACCAGTTATATGGTCTTCGTCACTCATGTTCCTATCTGAAACAAATTAATGTA